CAATGAAAAATTAATTTGCAGAATGTTTTGTTGCTTTTAAAAGATGAAGACAAAGCTACACTGGGGTCCGTCAGAAATATTGAGAGAACATTGGTCACATTAAAAAAATTAATAAAAGAAAACCACAGCTTTGTAATTTAGCGTATTTTATAAATATTGATCATTATCATTTTACAAGCTTACTTAGAATTTGTACTTATGTATTTTCCGCAGCAGCATCCAGGAAATTTGTTGCATAAACTCTCAAATTTGACATGTCAGGCTAGGGATTAAAAATGGAACTCTGAACATCCCCCAGATGAGTTCATGCAAGTGCACTAGCTGGGAAAAGCTGCTGGCAAAGCATCAAACATGTTTTACAACCCCACTCTTTGTATCTTATAATAAATATGGGGCTTGTGTTTGAAACGGAGGCTGGATAGCGCTCTTTCAGCCATAATATATATGTAATGTTTAAGTCTGGAGGACTAAAGATTCCTTATCTCCGATTTCATTCCTATGAACTATATCCCAGCATGAAATAGTTCTATATTAGCTTGGCAGTTCTGCTATTGTCCCCGTTATTTCTGGATTGTAAGAGAGCTATGCATATTACTGGTAAGTAAAAAGAACATAAAAAAGAGAAAAGAGAAATACGTTTTATGAAGCTCTATAAAGAAACATCTAGTGCACTGGTTATACCAATTTCTAAATTGGGAGGCCTTTCTCATGATCACTTAGGTGTGTCTTAGTCATCTCTCATTTTGATTACAGCAATATAGCCTACAAAGAGCTACCCCTGTGGACCATTTGAAAACTTCAGCAGGTATAGAATGTGTGGCTTGAGTTGGTAAGTACATATCTCAAGAAACCATTATTTCACTTTAGCCTGTTTAAATTATCTATTTTTTATAGACTGCCTTGCTCTGGTGATTGAGGTGGCTAATAAATTGACTAAATAAGCAATATTGCTAAATTCATAATAATTTCTACAATGTATTCAATGTAAAAGAATATAATAATCTTTAAAACATGTGAAAGAGCAATAAAACTATAAAGGCAGGGCCTTATTTTTAAACTTCTAAGTTTTGATCTTTTAATATCCAGAGAAGAAAACTGGAGAACAGAGTTTGATTTAATTTGATTAGAAGGTAGAATTGATACACGCCTTATATAGATTGTTAAAAGCAAAAACAAATCAATAGTAGTGAAGAACAGGTTGAGCTCAATACTTAGGTTCAAACAATTATACCATAAAGATAAAGCATTCAAAACTGAGCTTGGTTAATGAGAGAAGTACACTATGGAGTGGTATGTTAATTCAGAGGATTGCACGCTATCTGAAAATAAACATTAAGTCAAAGACAACAACAGATGTTTCATAAAAGTGTCCCATCTCAAATTTTTCTGCAGCATATTACTGTGACTCCGATATTGGAAATATAGTGCTAAAGATAAAGTATCACTATGTTTGGTATTTAGCAATACTGGAAAACGACTGTAGTTACTGCTACACAGTATACACAAAGAAGAATAACATTTATTTTGAGCATCCCAAGAGACTGGTGTACTTACTACCTTCACCCAAAAACTCTAAAAAAGGGAAAGATCTAAAGGACATTAAAGAAAAGGAAAGTGAGTGAAATTTTCATAATTGAATAATTCAGGGCATAACTGTACACTTTAATAAGTTTGATATGATTACAGTGATATGGAAACATTAGTGTTTTCAATATATTTAATATAAGTTATATCAAATATCCTTTTAGGAACTTTAGAAAAACCAGTTCCTTATCGGAAGCACTGTTTCTCAGTTTTGGCCATTGTAAGATGGCTGGACTTCAATCCCAGAATTCTCCAGCCATCTCTGGAAGTTGAAGTCAACCCATCTTAAAGTGGCCAAGGATGAGAAACACTGCTCTCGAAGTATGAAGAATGAGAAACAGCAGCTTTTTATGGCCTTCAGGATCTGAAGCAATAGTTTCCCATCATTCTATTTTTATTTCTTACGCAATCAGACTCTATTATTATAGAGTGTTTTAATCTGCTTTAATGAGATCCAAGATCTCTCTTAGTTGGTGAGAGAAAGTTTTTTATTTCATTTTCTCAAAGAAATATTAAGGAAGCCTTCAAAAGTAACTTCAAAAGTTTCAACTTTTTAACAAAAAAAAAAAAAAAATGAAATCAAAAATATGTTTCCAAAACATTATATATCATCCTGTACTAGAAACATTTTACTTATAAATTATTCCTGCATAAGCACATTTCAACAATCAATTAATTTTACAGCCACCAAAGCAATAAAACTGCTCTAACATGATGTAAATCAAATAACATTATTGACAAAGTGTTTACTTTTATAGTAATCTCATTACAGTATAGTACAAAATCTAATCAAGGAAAAATTGTTTTTCTGTAATATTCTTTTGTAATGTACCTGTACTAAAATTAACCCTAATGAAGGAGTTTGCTTAAACTACAAAGTTTTAACCGAACAACAGTCAGGGTGAATCTGGTCAAATCTTTTCTGAGAAGTCACTAAATATAATAAATACAAATTAATAATTATTCTTAAAATTTTGTGCAAGAAATTCAAAGTAAAACAAGAATAAATGGTCTATATACAGGTGGCCCTTGAGTTATGCTAGCAGTTGGGATTGGAACTTCTATTGGATGTATCCATAAAGCATAATGTCATGTGATCACATCACTTAGTGTAGGTAACCCTGGAAGACCTGATTAATGTCACAATTGCAGAGCTATGTAGGTTGTTAAGAAGGAAAAGGTGGAAAACCAAAACAAAGTTCACGGGCATGCCACTAGCAGGTGCTACAAAGATTGAGATTGGATGGTGCCACAGGGTGCCACAGGTAGGAGATATGGAGTGAGTGTGGGTCAGCAGGAACTGCGAGTAGCTGGGGAGTGCTGTGTGTGTGCGTGTATGCTACAGCTAGAACTTTGAGGACTGGTCATAGGTATACTATAATTTATAGTATAAGTTCAACACTGTCATAACTTTGAATGGTCCTGAATGAATAGTCATAACTTGAGGACTACTTATATTGTCCAAACATACAATCATTCTGTGTGGATTCCATTAGAATACTTTTTCATTTTTATTCAGGTCTAATTTTTATAATGTACCATTGTTTCTCCTTCAACACGTTCTGATTTAAATAATCACATTCTGTGTAGAAAATCTTCTGTCTCTCAGAAAACATATCAGCAGGTCCCACTGTAGCCTTTTTACATATCAGAAAAGTTGACGTGGGGCTTTTAAAATTCAGTGGGACCTGCTGATATGTTAGTACCTAGATAGGAGACCACAAGGAAATCCTAGGATTAGAGACAAGACAGGGAGCTAAAATTATCCTGGAAGATAATAGCAAACCATTTCTGTATAGTTGACAAAAGAGCAGGTGAATGCACAAAGCTCCATTTGTGCATGTGCAAGATTAGGTTCCACACACGAAACCATCCCTTCCTCCTGCCATTGTGGGTCCACACAGCCTGAAAGGTCACGGACTGCTGCCATGTAGGATCCAAGGAAAAGGCCCTCAAACCACATGAAGACATATAATAGGAAAAAAAGACCAAAAATGTTTTCCTGAAATTAAGGCACAAGCAGCTTTAGATAAATGGAAATCTGAGAACATTTCATTGTCTTCATGAGAAATTTACATACAAGTCATAGAAGATGGTGAAAGAGACTGGCTCCAAGTTTACAAAAGAGTGTAACAAGAATGTTTATGTTCCCCTTATTTATTCACTCTATATGCTGAATGTATATTAAGAGAAGCTGGTTAGGAAGGAAATGAACATGTTTTTAAAACTGGAAGAAGAAACAACAATAATCCGTGCCATGCTGATGACACTACCTTGGTAGCTGAAAAATGGAAAGGATCTACAAGCTCCAACAATAAAATTCAAGGAATGCTATGAAAACATAGAACTAAAACTAAATATACAGATCAAACTAAAGCCAACAAATAACCAGGCTTATAATTGAAAATGAAGATATCAAAGGCATGGATACCTTTGGCCTTTTAGGATCAACAATAAAAGAACAAGTAGGGAAGAAATGTGCACTTGGCTGAGCAGCCACAAAGACTTGGGAAAGATATTCAAATGCTGTGATGTCTCTATACCTATGAAGATTAGAATTTTGCAAGCCATGGTATTTTTCTGTGACACTCTATGTAAATAAAAGTTGGACTTCAGAAAAGCAGGCATTGATGCTTCTATATTGGAGAAGAGTATATTATGGACAGCTAGGAAAACAAACTAATAATTATTAAACAAATTAAGCCAGAGTTCTCACTTGAGGCACAAATGACCAGGCTCAAATTATCCTACTTCAGACACTTTATGGGAAGACCCAGCTCTCTAAAAAAGGCTCTTAATGCAAGGAAAGGGAGTAGCAAAATGGATGGACTCAATTACAGCAGTGATGGGAGTACCATTAGAAGACCCGTTTAAGGACACATTGTCATTAAAGAAGATCCATGTGATCTCTAAGGGTCGAAAAAGACTTCAGCACCTGAGGGGCAGGACAAGAAACCAGGATGGAAACTAATCAAGGAGAGAAGCAACCTAGAACTAAGGAGAAATTTCCTGACAGTTAGAACAATTAATCAGTGGAACAACTTGTCTCCAGAAGTTGTGAATGCCCAATACTTCTTTTTAAGAAGAGATTGGACAAACATTTGTCTGAAATAGTATAGGGTTTCCTGCCTGAGCACAGGGTTGGACTAGAAGACCTCTGAAGTGACTTTCCAACCGAACGCCCCACTCCATATGTGCTACACTCCAACTCCTAGCATCCACACCCTCTACTACAGCAACCATGTTGGTCACGGATGATGGGAGCTGTAGCCCTTCACATCTGGAGTCAGCAGGTCAAGAGAGAACTTGAATAAGGGATCTCCAGCAGGAACTACCTAGATATCCCCCCCCCCATTCTTCTTCTTCAAGTAAGCACTCATAATAATGTCATTTTAATAGCAGTTTCCCCCACTCACCTGTGCCAGGACCAGGAAGAAGCCGCCGGTCCCCTCCCGCCCGCTCCATCCTCTGCAGGAGCCCACCAAGGCGCCTCCTCCGAGCAAGGAGGCAGTTGCGAACCACGGGCTCGTCCAGCCTTTGCGCCCCCGGAAGCCACCAAGCATGAGCGCCCCGCGCCTCCCGCAATTGCGGACCAGAGCGGCCCAAGCGGCTCCCCACGCCGCCGCCATTTTCTCGGAAGTAGAAAGATCGTTGACATCAATCCGTAAACATTGAGTTATGTAGAGCCACCCGCAGTTCTCAGCTTCCGGGTCCGCTTTCCATTATTCCGTATTCCTATTCCATCAAGGGCTATAGAGTTGTTGTCGTGGGAAAAACAGCCACCACGGAGGCACACAATAAAGGCAGGTTCTTCCTTTCTGGCATAGATCTTCGTTGCTGGTGAGAATGGTTTTCAAAAACTCGCCTTTTCAATATTTTAATGGTCAGCGGGGCTGTTTGCAGGAGGCATTGAATGCTTTGGGTGCAATTTGAGTGAGGGGTTTTGCATGAGAAAGAGGTTTGAAGGAGTCGTTTAAGCAGACTTTTGCTGGAACCTGATTAAAAACAAGAATTAAAATGCCCAGGTCAAACACTAGCAGCGGGCGATGTTACAGGGTGATTTTCTCCCTCTGGTGAAAAAAAATGGAGCAAGACCAATAGTAGTGGAATAAGTAAAAAAAAAAAGCATGTATTCATTATTGTTATTCATTATTGTTATGGTTGCATAGTCGGCCAGATGTTTTGACTATCTCGCATTTTTTCTACCATATCGAGTCCATCCCAAGGACCTGGAGTAAATAGATGTTATATTAAATATTAAATATTATTATATTTAATAATATTAAAGGTATCGTCGCAGGATGTAATTATTATTTTGAAGCAGAAACATTTAGGCTTCGTTACCACGTTCATAATAGGATTCTAGAGGGAGGTTATTTCTGGGGTGGTCGTTAAAAAGGGACTTGGAAATCAAATTTGTGGAGAAAAAGTTACCTCTACTTTTTCTAGCTCTTTCTATAAAAAAAACCAAAACAAAACACACGCTCTCTTGAGGTGCATGCGCTATTTTAAAGAAAGCTTGCAGGTTATTGTAAGGCTGAGCGAGATGTTTAATTAGGCCAAGTAAACAGCTGCAGTTCTTCAACATTAAAATTAGGGGCTTTTTAATGGCTTAATTTTTGTGTTCATGCATGGTTCAATATACTGAATAAATCTAGGAAATCTCCCCACCCATAGCCAAAATAAGCATATGTTGTTCAGTAGTTATATTTTGTGCAGTGGTGGTATTCAAATAAGGTTGCCACGGGTTTGGTGGGCATGGCTTGGTGGCCGCGCTTTGCGTGCATGCACACACTTTGTGTGCACGTGCGTGCCAAACACACTTTGCACAGGCGCAGAGGCGTTCTAACTTCCCTCCTGCAAGCCCGCATGATGGTAGTCGCTGCAGCAGCTGCCACATGGCGCTATTCTGCGCCATGCAAAGCAGCTGCGCTTTGAATTCTGGCTATAAAAGTGAGTATGGGAGCCCAGGCAGGCGGGTGGGCCAACCACAGAGCAGCGAAGAGAACCGGTTCGGTCTCCACTGCTCATCACCGCTACCGGCTCCCCAGAACCAGGCAGAACCGGTTGAATACCATCACTGATTTTGTGCATGTAGATAGCTGGGGATTAATGGCACTGTCTTCACTAATGTGAATGTTAATTTTGATGTACTGTAAGAATTAAGAATCACCTCGAGGGGGTTCCCTCTGCTATATAGAATTGTTTGATCCCTCTCCTTGAGTAGCAGAAAGTTCGATCCTTGATTTCCTTCCAAGATGATAAGTCACAAGACCTAACAGATTATTTACTGAATAGCATAACAGGAATAATTGCAGTTAAGCTTGTCTTACTCAATAGACTGGGAATATGATGGGGACTTGGCAGAGAAAAAGTTGGGTATCAGGCAAACTTGTGCCATCATTAACTGCAAGTGAGGACATGGCCTCTCTTAAATTGTTGATCTCCAGGGCATCAAAATCACATCTTGCCCAGTTAACTGTAGTTTAGAGCAGGGGTCTCCAGCCTCTTGGACCTCAGGGACCACCAATCTCATAATTTTAGATCTCAGGGACCACTAACCGGTTCTGTGGGCATGGCCTAATTTGTGGGTGTGGCTTGGTGGTCATGTGACTGGCTGGGCATGGCTTGTATGTAAATATTATCAATATTTATATAAATATTGATTTCTTAATTAAAAAAGAGTAACTTTTACCCCAAATCAGGCAAAGCAGGCAGATTGAGTTGCTCACAGAATCACAGATTCATTCAGAGATCTATATCAGCCATTGGCTAGCTCAGTCTGTCACGTAAAATTTGCTTGCAAGCAAACTCACAAAATTAACTCACAACACACCATGCATGTAAATATTGATTTTTTTTATAAAAAAGAGCAATTTTTACCCAAAATCAGGCAAAGCAGGCAGATTGAGTTGCTCACAGAATCATTCAGCGATCTATCTATTTGCCATCGGCTAGCTCAGTCTCTCAAATTTGCTTGCTGTGAGTCTGCACTGAATTTGCTTGCAAGCAAACCTTCAGTCCTAAGGGAGGTTCGGACCGCTGGTTTAGAGAGACAATTTCAATTTTAGGGATTCACACAGCCCACCAAATAAATCATAAATTAACCACACGAATAGCATTTAAACAACATATTTAGGCTAAATTGTGATTGGCTAGCTTATAGACTAGCTAGTCTAGCTTATAGACTAGCTAGTCTTCAGTTGGGCTGGGAGCCCCCTCCCAATCAATTTACTCCTTCCTTTCTCCTGAGAAAGAGAAGCACTGAGAAGGAGTTCAAAAAGTACCTGCCTTTTTGCCAAGAAATTTTAACTTCATTTTTTCACAGAAGAAAATTTCCCATTAGTCATCTGCTATCAGGTCACTGGGCCAACCTTATCATTTGGTAGAGTAAGATCAGCAGTAGATCCTGCTGAATGAGACTAGTAGCTGCTCCAAAGGTCCTCTAAATCAGTGTTTCTCAAACTTGGCAACTTGAAGATGTGTAGACTTCATGGCTGGCTGGGGAATTCTGGGAGTTGGAGTCCACACATGGACTTCAAGTTGCCATGGTTTAGAAAATGGCTCTAAATAATCCTGCTTGTCTGACCGATTGAGGACAGAATTACATATACCCTAATATACTAGATCACCTAAACAAGTCTGCTGCCTCAGTTCTAGTGAGAATTCCTTTCCCAGTATTAACAAAAGATTCACCTGCCAATCTACTTTGGAAGAGGTGCAGGGGTGGGATTCTACCAGTTCGCACCTATTCAGTAGAACCGGTTGTTAACATTCTAAGCAGTTTGGAGAACCGGTTGTTAGAAGAAATTACTGGCCTAATCCTGTAAGGAAGGCAGGAAGGAAACATTCTGGTATTGCTTATAGAAACTGCCTCTCCATTAACCCTTATTACATTCTTGGCAGGACTAGACTTCCTGTCTCAGGAATGTCTCTGGAGTTTTTTTCCCCCTTCCTTTGCTGGTACTTTGCTTGTGTGGAGTGACCATTCAAAGTTAGAATGGCACTGAAAAAAGTGACTGATGACCATTTTTCACACTTGCAACTGTTGCAGCATCCCCACAGTCATGAGAGGCCAGGCGAGGAGATGCGTGCCCTCGATGTGAGTGATGTTGAGTTGGCCACACCCAGCCAATAACATGACCACCAAGCCATGTCCACCCAGTCACATGACCACCAAGCCACGCCCACCACCTAAGCAACACCCAGAGAACCAGTTGTTAAAATTTTTGAATCCCACCCCTGAAGAGGTGCCTTAATACTTTGTCTCACTCTCAAGCAAACAAAATAAAAATAGGTTTTCCAGCATGTTTGTTTGCCAAGGCTTTGCCAGGTTTCTTAACTTCAATATAGCCAAAATACTAATTTGGTTCACAGATCATACTTAGCTTAGTAATTTGTTAGGTCTATACCCTGACATGGTTTACAGTTATGGCTAACCTAAATTATAGCATATCACAATGTCTGAATTGAAAAATCAGACATTCTCTGTCATATTAGCAGAAATCTAATAAAAGAACACCCCCCCCCCCAATAATGTGGGTCAGATTGAATACTACTCTCTTGCTTCTGTGAAGTTATTTCCATCTATGGAAAGATTTTTCTTGGTGGAATACTGAATTTGAAAAATATCCCCCTGCTTTGGGTGGAAATGTCTGTGCATCTTATAAAATTAAAATTGCAATGGGGGAGGGAGATCACCGCCACCACCTGTCACTACTGCCATCGTTCGCCGCCACTGGGGAACGCTGGTGCCTTCACTGCCGAGCAGCTGATTGGCAATTGGATCTGTCTCCCAGAATACCATTGATCAGCTGTTCTAGGCAGTGGGAATCACCTCTGCCACCTATCACCACTGCCTATCACCGCCATCACTATGTTTGCACAACATGCTCAGTTGTAAATTATGTATTATAAATCTTAATGCTAGGTTTCAACCAAAACCAAACGAATCATATTAGGTATGGTCCAACCTTTTATTTTTCTATTTCAAAATTCAAAATCAGCAAATATTAGGAACGAGACAACAGCAGAAAATTGTAATGTCCTATAAGCTGCAGAGGAATTTTTGATTTTGCTTTTTGTAACACATTATTATAATATTTGTCTCTGGGCAGTATCTCCTCACATGATTAGGTTATTGACAATTAATGAAATCAAGTTATAAACTAATTGTACGGAATTAAAGACAGTTGACTAAAATTATAAAAATTCAAGTCATGAAAACAATTGACTAATTGCTTAGCAAATTAAAAACAATTAAGGAGGTAACAACTCATGGTCCAAAGCACTGCCAAAAAGAAAATACAGTTTTTTGTGGGAAGTACATCTTATAGTGCAAAAAATACAATAATTTGATGTTTTAGACTCTTGTGTATTTGAATATCATTATCAGTGTGGCTCATTATAGTCACTGCTAAGTTGTTCTTGGTCTGCATAGCAGGCCACCTTGCCTCTGAAGATGCCAGCTGCAATTGCCAGTAAAGTGTCGGGAAATCTGTTGTCTAGACCATAATCATAAATCCTGAAACAGAACACTGTCCAATGCCCAATCATCTTTTTTAAAACAAATTGCTGGCCATCATCATATTAAAGGGCAGCAAATTTCATAGTTGCACTGTTGCAGAATGAAG